AGGTGTGCACTCAAAACATTAGGCTAACAGTTATCTATGCAGTACCTACATGAAAGTTGTTTTCCTGCCAAAGGATGTGTACTTCTGTCCATTCATTTCTGAGATTTACACTGACATACCAGACAGCATGCTCAGCCTGAAGACATTTTTTTCTCACTGCAATTGAGTAATACAAATAGGCCTTATCTTCACCCCCAGCCTGTGACTGGACAGTGAGCGGAGAAGCAGCACACTGATGAGCTCATCTCTCTGCTCTCTCCTTCTAGCAGCATATTTTTGTTAGTACATGAGCTCTGTACACAAATGACTGGTTCCTTTTACTGTCCTTACCATTGTGAGCTCTGCTGTATAGGGAATTGCAAGAGGCTGGTACCAGGTCAAATTTAGATACCGGTACTTACAATAGTTGTTTTTAGTAATATACTGGAGTGTCTTCTTGGAAGATGTGGGAGCCTCAGCTCTCCCCACAGGGCTCAGGATATTAACTTGATCTATGTGTCATGGGTGGAAGTGGATATAATTATTATTAATATTATTCATAATGAATAATAATTAATCATTGTTATTATTACAGGTACTTATACAGCATGGTCAATTTACATGAATCTTTTACATATACAGTCATGGCCGAAATTGTTGGCACCCTTGATATTTTTCCTGAAAATCAAGTATTTCACACAAAAAAGGTATTGCATTAACACATGTTTTGCTATACACATGTTTATTCCCTTTGTATGTATTGGAACAAATATAAAACAGAGGCAGAAAAGCAAATATGACATAATGTCACACAAAACCCCAAAAATGGGCTGGACAAAAGTATTGGCACCCTTAACTTAATATTTGGTTGCACACCCTTTGGAAAACATAACTGAAATCAGTCGCTTCCTATAACCATCAATAAGCTTCTGACACCTCTCACCCGGAATTTTGGACCACTCTTCCTTTGCAAACAGCTCCAGGTCTCTCTTATTGGAAGGACACCTTTTCCCAACAGCAATTTTAAGATCTCTCTCCACAGGTGTTCAATGGGATTTAGATCTGGGCTCATTGCTGGCCACTTCAGAACTCTCCAGCGCTTCTTTGCCATCCATTTCTGAGTGCTTTTTGACGTATGTTTGGGGTCATTGTCCTGCTGGAAGACCCAGGATCTTGGACGCAAACCCAGCTTTCTGACACTGGGCCCTACAGTGCGACCCAAAATCCTTTGGTAATCCTCAGATTTCATGATGCCTTGCACACAGTCAAGGCACCCAGTGCCAGAGGCAGCAAAACAACCCCAAAACATCATTGAACCTCCACCATATTTTACCGTAGGTACTGTGTTTTGTTCTTTGTAGGCCTCATTCCGTTTTCGGTAAACAGTAGAATGATGTGCTTTACCGAAAAGCTCTATCTTGGTCTCATCTGTCCACAAGACGTTTTCCCAGAAGGCTTTTGGCTTACTCAAGTACATTTTGGCAAACTGTAGTCTTGCTTTTTTATGTCTCTGTGTCAGCAGTGGGGTCCTCCTGGGTCTCCTGCCATAGCGTTTCATTTCATTTAAATGTCGACGGATAGTTCGCGCTGACACTGATGCTCCCTGAGCCTGCAGGACAGCTTGAATGTCTTTGGAACATGTTTGGGGCTGCTTATCCACCATCCGGACTATTCTGCGTTGCAATCTTTCATCAATTTTCCTCATCCGTCCACGACCAGGGAGATTAGCTACAGTGCCATGGGTTGCAAAACTTCTTGATAATGTTGCGCACTGTGGACAAAGGCAAATCTAGTTCTCTGGAGATGGACTTGTAACCTTGAGATTGTTGATATTTTGCCACAATTTTGGTTCTCAGGTCCTCAGACAGTTCTCGTCTCCTCTTTCTGTTGTCCATGCTTAGTGTGGCACAGACAGACACACAATGCAAAGGTTAAGTGAAACGTCTCTCCTTTTTATCTGCTTTCAGGTGTGATTTCTATATTGCCCACACCTGTTACTTGCCCCAGGTGAGTTTACAGGAGCATCACATGCTTGTAACATTCTTATTTATCCGCAGTTGTGAAAGGGTGCCAATACTTTTGTCCAGCCCATTTTTGGAGGTTTGTGTGACATTATGTCGAATTTGCTTTCTTTCCTCCCTTTTTTTGTTTTGTCCCAATACACACAAAGGGAATAAACATGTGTATAGCAAAACATGTGTTAATGCAATACGTTTCGTGAGAAATACATGATTTCCTGGAGAAATATCAAGGGTGCCAACAATTTCGGCCATGACTGTATATATATATATTGTGCATTCACATCAGTCCCTATCCCTCAAGGAGCTTATAATCTAAGGGCTCCTATCTCACATTCATACATACACATACTAGGGCCAATTTAGACAGGAGCTAATTAACCTACCAGCATGTCTTTGGAGTGTGGGAGGAAACTGGAGTACCTGGAGGAAACGCACACAGGCACAGTGAGAACATGCAAACTCCAACCAGGTAGTGTCATAATTGAGTATATTTTCGTATTTTCTGATTATTTTTTATGCCTTTTGAAGTTCTGATTCAGTATGAACTGCATTTTGGAAATGTGCTATGTTCTTTAGCCTTTTTTTCTATTTGAGCTTTTTCTGACATATGTATGCACAGGTGGCCATATCTACTTCTATATATATGCTGCACCTAGTAGCATAGCTCAGTGATTAGCTTTACTGCTCCTCTTATCTTAGTATGAGTCTGATGAGCTGTGTCCATTGATTTTCATGAAAACACTGAAATGTCCTGGTCGCTTATGTTGTTATTTTGTTCGATAATTTAATTACTCCTTTTCAGTGTTATTTGAAAGAAGAGCTTTAACCAGATTGTTCTCTGTGCGAATATAAAATATATATATCTCTACAATATAAGTGAACGGCTTATGGCTCTTTTTTGGTCCTTTTAAAGAATTGATACAGCCAGTAAAAACAGTTAAAGCCTTGTAGAAGATCTAAAAGCTTTTCATTGTTATAGTGCTGGGAGGAGAGAATCACAATGTGTTCACGTATGACTGTACATCCAGGTCACAAGCTTCCAACACAATAGACAGGAAACCTGAGTTTTTTTCCTTGTGCTGTAGATTGGTTGTATGTTGTGATCATTATGATGAAGAGGTTATCTAGATTTACAGTTTTTATTAACGAAACCAATGTTCTTCAGGTATCATAAGATGTATAAAACATACAAAGGAGATCAGTTTATATGCCTATAGAAAAGTTGTATTTTAGATTTATTTACTATCCCTATTTACTGTTGCGATATACAGTATATAAAAGGGGTGTTCATGTCAAACTGGGACTTTTGAGTATATATATATATATATATATATATATATATTCTAGGATTGGAAACTGCATTTATTTTTCTACATACTTCCCTGCTACATTTATACTCATCCCAATGTGTAACTAATGCCTGGAAAGCTTCAACATAGAAAGATTTGTCAGTATACCTGAACCATCCTAGGACAGCCTGCTTCACTTCGTCATCAGTGCTGAAATGCTGACCTCCGAGGAACTCATCTAAGATTCGTTTCTTGTGCAATTTCACGACAGGCTATGCATCAATTATCCAAGATCAGGTGTTCCACGGGCTGAATGTTCACAGGAGTGACTACTGTGGGCTGGGAACCACCACGGCTGGGATGGTCACTGACAGACGTACGGCCCTTTTTGAAATGATTACACCATTCAAATGTCTTACTGCGGCTGAGCGTCTCATCACCATACTGTGCTTGATGTCTTCTGTAGATATGTACCGCCATGCTAGCATCCCTTTTTTAACTGTAAAATTAAAAGTCCCGAGTCCTGGTTTGACTTGAACGCCCATCGCATATATTTATATATATATTTACACACACAAACAATACTTGGACATGTTAAGATGTCATAATTCAAGTATAAATGGACATAATATTTCACATCTCACATAAGTTCTAACTTATTAAAATAATTTTTAAAGTAATGTTTAATGTTTACATTTGCATGCCATGAATATCCTTGTTGAGACACTTCTGTCATAGGGTGTCAGAGATCTGTCCCTGTCTTCCAGTTTTGTTCCTGTGTTGTCACCCTCTCACACATGCTTCCTACAGCGACTGTAAGTGACTGTTTTACACTCAAAGCATGCAGATATGGTATGCTGTTGTTACCATTGGGAAGCAACCCTGAGAAATTTCATGCAGCCATAATGTAGACAGGAAGTGGCTGTATAGGGGCAAGAGCTTCAAGTGGCAGTGACTTTAAATATGTCAGAAGGAAAAGAAAGCAAATTATTAATACCCCCACCGAGGAATGTTTTAGCACTGATAAAGCTGTACACATATTAGAGGGCATTTACAGAGACACTGCCTCACTGACTGCAATTTGCAGCATTTTATAGAAAGAAATCAGAAGGACTCAGACAGCATCCCTTGATAGATCAGTTCATCTTAGGTGTACATAGTCAATTCATTAGAAAGAGACCCAGAAATGTCATTTTTACAAGTACAGCAGTATGCTCTGTGTCTCATGAGTCGTGAAGAGGAACCTATGGAACTAGCGTTTAAGCAGCAAGCTAAAAGGGCTACCTATTCCCTAACCAAGGAAATTATTCAACAGCCTTCCATCATGACCACTAAAAAATAAAGTACAAGAGTCTCACTTATAGCCTAACTCCAGATTTGCTGTCACTTTAAATATTGTAGTTCATTTGGGCCAAGCTGGCCCAAACAATCTATTTTCTATACTAATAGATACAGCTGCTGTGTCTTTTGGCAGTGGTATGGGAACTTCATGTCCTGTTCCCAAAACAAAACTGAATTGGGCTGAGCTTGGGCTGAGCTTATCAATAAAGTGTTCTATCGGGTTGACGTCATGACTCTGTGCAGGCCAGTCACGTTCCTCCACCTTAACCTCGATCATCCATGTCTTTATGGACCTTGCTTTGTGCACTGGTGCGGAGTCATGTTGAAACAGGAAGGGGCCATCCCCAAACTGTTCCCACAAAGTTGGGAGCGTGAAATTGTCTAAAATGTCTTGGTATGCTGACGCCTTAAGAGTTCCCTTCACTGGAACTAAGGGGCCAAGCCCAACCCCTGAAAAAACAACCTCACACCTTGCTTTACACCACTGCATCTGACACTTTGCATTGCACTTGCTGATGTAAGGCTTGAATACAGCTGCTCGGCCATGGAAACCCATTCCATGAAGCTCTCTATAAACTGTTGTGCTAATCTGAAGGCTACAAGAAGTTTGACTTTGCAGACAGTTGGAAACTTTTATGCACTGTGCGCTTCAGCATGCGCTGACCTCACTCTGTCACTTTAAGTGGCCTACCACTTCGTGGCTGAGTTGCTGTTGTTCCCAGTTGCTTCCACTTTGTTATAATACCACTAACAGTTGACCGTGGAATATTTAGTAGCAAAGAAATTTCACGGATGCACTTATTGCACAGGTGGCGACCTATCACGGTACCACGCTTGAATTCACTGAGCTCCTGAGAGTGCCCCATTATTTCATTAATGTTTGTAGAAGCAGTCTGCATGCCTACGTGCTTGATTTTATAGACCTGTGGTCAAGGAGGTGATTGGAACACCTAAATCCAATGATTTGGTGGGCTGGCCCAATACTAAGGAATCTAAGGAAAGGCAAATAAATATTACAAAAACTCCCTGTAGAATGTTGGGAAATACTGTATCTCTTGATGAATAGGAAAAATTAGAACTGACTCGTACTTTTTAGTGCTGCTTTTATTTCTTCCTGGGTAATTTTTGCATCCAAGGAGTTCAATTGTGCGTTGCTTAATTTTGGTAGGCCCGCATTTTTTAGATATATCTTCCTTTTTTCAATGTTCACCTCTTTAGTGTCTTTCAAAGAAACTTGGGAACTAATATTGTACAGCTTTCTACAGTACTCCGTAAACACTTTAATAATCTCTTTAGTTGAATGAACCAACTCCCCCTTGGGGCTTTTTATTTTATCTATATAATTCCTGTTTTTCTTTTTACTCAGGGCTCTCATTAAATATTTTCCTGGTCTATCTCCCCATCTGTATCTCTCACTTAATACTTTATGGTGTGAGTGCGGTGCAATTACAGCCATACAAAATGTATGATTCGAATCGTACTGCACACAATTTGCATGTGTTTTGCACAGGAATACGATGCGGTTCCAGTCGAATCACATGCGATATACAGAACCGCATATATGTGAACCCGGGCTAAATCACATACTACTCTGTTACACTCCCAAAGTCATGGGGCCTGTGAATATTTCAACTGAACCGTCATCCACATGCAACATTTGTCCTTGATAGATATGTGAGGTTGGTGGATTTGAGAGGGAAGGGTTAACTCTGCTGACCAAGTTTCCTGCTGTTTTTCAGAAGGATACCATCCCCTGCACGTCATGCCATATACATTTTGGCTTATTGGTGCCTCCACGGGAGAGAAATGGGAGTTTCCTGATATACTCTCAAGATGTAGATGTTCCTCTGCCACTTTGCCCTCTTGTGGGAGCCCAGCTGGGGTTCCAAGGGGTCTGGATCTACATGGACTTTTGCTGGACCATGTGAATTAACTATTGGCCTTGTGGAGTTACTGCTCCTGGAACTCTTGATGTGCCATGGATTACTTGTGCGTACTCTGCTTCTGCTAAACTCAGGTATGACTACCTCATGGGGCACTTAGAGAGCTTTGTACAGGAATGTGTACTGAAGATGTTTTGGAGAATTATTTTTGCGTTGTCTTCAACCTCTTTAGTAAAGCACTTTGTTGTTCAGTTCAACTGCCTGGTCTGAAGTCTCTGAAAGGGGTGCATGCATGGCATATCAAAGAATAGGCATATCAAAGTACAGAGGTCTAATGAGCAGAATGCTGTCCAGAGGAAGCTAGATTGCTGTTTCTAATGACTACTGTATTTGTGGCACACGCTAAAGCAAACCAACCAGTCAGGAGAAGGGTGACATGGCAGAGATGACAGATACTCTGGTAGTGAAGGGTGTTATGCTTTGCCCCTTCACTAGCGACCGGTTCCCCATGACCTAGAACCAACTTCACAGCCAGGAGTACCTAGGGACCTAGCCTCGAGAGGTAGAGATGTAGAGGGGGCCCCAGGAAGGAGAACAAGCACATATAGTTATGAAGTTGTGGAGAAGAGTGTTTCCTGTGTCCAGCTGTAACATTCAGGGCATTGTCACTTGGAGTGAGGTGACTGGACTGCTGAGTTGGCAGAGATGGTTACATGCTCCAAGGCACCGGCTCTGAAATGCTGCACACCAAGGGAGAGAAACGTGTCCAAATTGTTTAGTGTCATCAGTGTAAGAAGTATGGCCACGGATTACAAAAAGTTAACTGTGCAAGTTGCTGCTTGCTTCTGTTTCTGGAGTATTGCCTTAATGTTGACTTTCACATGACAGCGGTTAGGCATTAGCAAGTTCAGTTCCACAGTGTCCCCACTAGGTCACCTTAAGCCCCACCCGCAGGTATACAGTCACACTATCCATTGCACCACAGGGCAGTCACCCAGTTGTCATCTTTGGAACAGAACTGGACACCGCACATCTGGATCCATGAAAATAAGAGTAAATTGCATGAACTGCATTATCACATTCAACAAAATAAAGAGGAAAATGTTTAGTAAGTTAAAAGTGTCAATCAAAATACAGAACTTGCTATTGGTGAGCTAGTGCTGTTTTCCATAAAGAAGGCTCATTGAAATAGAAAATTTCAGGAACTGTAAAAATCCCAAGCCTTCAATAATTTTCAAAGACCCAAGAAGGAATATTCCAGTGTATGAACTTAAACCCATTGATGGATGTGGGTCACAAAGGCCCTTTTACTGAAACCTCCTTAGGAAATTCCTCATAATGACTCCATACCTAGTGGAAGGAAAGGTAAATGAAAATATAAATCCTGCAAAATCCACAGCGGTAAATACTCCTGAACCTGGGGACTGGTGGTATGAACCTCCAAAGACTGGTGAAAGTAATATGGTATAAGATACACAGGTAAGAGGAGAAATATCCTTAGAGACTACTGAACTGGAATATTTATGCAGATCTATGTGCAAGAACATTGGGGTACCTCTTACTAGGTATATTGCTCTTTTCAATCATTTTTATTGAAGAAGTTTAGACAAGACATTAAGGTACAAGTGTATTCAGTTAGATGTCAAGCAATGGTAACACATCGGGAGATAACAAACCCCCTTATCCTCATACAACATCTATGCGCTATAAAGGTTATTAGTTACATAGTTAGTCTGGCTGAAAAAAAAGACATAAGTCCATCCAGTTCAACCATTAAACAAAAAAAAAGTTGTAATCCTATACCCACAGTTGATCCAGAGGAACGCAAAAAAGAAGGATACCACCCCCTACACGTCATGCCATATACATTTTGGCTTATTGGTGCCTCCACAGGAGAGAAATGGGAGTTTCCTGATATACTCTCAAGATGTAGATGTTCCTCTGCCACTTTGCCCTCTTGTGGGAGCCCAGCTGGGGTTCCAAGGGGTCTGGATCTACATGGACTTTTGCTGGACCTTGTGAATTAACTATTGGCCTTGTGGAGTTACTGCTCCTGGAACTCTTGATGTGCCATGGATTACTTGTGCGTACTCTGCTTCTGCTAAACTCAGGTATGACTACCTCATGGGGCACTTAGAGAGCTTTGTATTCAGTTAGATGTCAAGCAATGGTAACACATCATACAACATCTATGCGCTATAAAGGTTATTAGTTACATAGTTAGTCTGGCTGAAAAAAGACAAAAGTCCATCCAGTTCAACCATTAAACAAAAAAAAAAAGTTGTAATCCTATACCCACAGTTGATCCAGAGGAACGCAAAAAAAACCCAGCAAAGCATGGTCCAATTTGCTGCTGCAGGGGAAAAAAATTCCTTCCTGATCCCCCCAGAGGCAACTGGATATTCCCTGGATCAACTTTACCTATAAATTTTAGTAACCTGTTATAGTCTGTGTATTCAAGAAAGAATCCAGTCCTTTTTTAAAGCAATCCACTAAGCTGGCCAAAACCAACTATTGAGGGAATCTATTCCACATTTTCACAGCTCTCACTGTGAAGAAACATTTCCATGTTTGGGTGATTACATTTCTTTTCCTCCAGATGTAAAGAGTGCCCCCTTGTCCTCTGTGGTAGTCCGCAACCAACTGTGTCCTGAGGAGTAGGATGATAACTTACAAAAAGCAGTGGTTAGTGTCATCCATGTGTTGTGAAAAGTTTCAGGGTCATAATCTCACAAAAGTATATTGCAATTCTACAATGTGTATACTGTTCTTAAAAAGCTATAGAACAAAAAAGTTCCCAGTGCCTAACATGAGAACACCATGCTTACATACTTAGGTCAGGCAACCTACTAGGTATATGGTTAACTGTAGTTCTTGAAGAAAACTTCAAGTTGTGGTGGGGTGGAAAATGTAATACACTGCTCAAAATAGTATGCTGGATATCTATACTAAAAATATGCAAGGGATGTGAGCGCTCTAAAAATCAGTAAAAGCCGCTATGCACAAAGGTAACCAAAAAAAACCTTAATAAAAGCAATATAAGATAGGTGCAGCGCTAAAATTAAATAAATGAACCTATAATGACAAATCAATGATAGTAATTCCAGTTCATAAATAGTTCAAAAAGGTGTTAAAAGTGCTCTTTAAGGTGCTTGCTTCCTGGGGATTGGTGACTGTGCAAATGATATAGAGAATGCACACTCACCGGACACGCATATAAAATGCGCCTGTATCAACTCCAAAATACATCAAAGCAAGCCAGGAATGGGGGATGTCTTCCCTCTAAGGGCTGGGTTGTCATCAAAAGGGATCCCAAGGTTGTTCAAAGGTGATCCGCATCTGCCAGAGTTCCCCCCAGAGGGATTGAACGGGTGCTGCTCCCTGGATGAGAGATCCCCTCTCTGGATATAGGATGGCCTGGTGTCTGAGAATTAAAACTCCCCCAGGGAGTTAAAATAGGGACATACCCATAGTGTAGTATGATTTAAATGAATAATTTTATTCCAGTAATAATTAAAATCGATGCATCAAATTTGCTATAGTAAAAAGCAGGTGATAAAGCACAAGTGCACTGGATTTTAATTATTACTGGAATTTTTTCATTGCATTATTTATGCATGGTTGGATGCATCGTGTTTATTAGTGACACAACAGTTGTCATATATGTATTTGGGATTTGTGCATAGAGCACTATTGTTTTCTGTTGGGGGGTTGGAGCACTTTTTGTGTTTAGTCCCAGTTTGGACTTTTTGTGCATTGTCGTTTCATCACTATTAGATCATTTGGGGCACTATTGTTATTTGTTGGTCCCTATTTGGACCTGTTATGTGACACTTTGTTACATGTGTACTGTGTGAGTGATTTTAGACACATTTTTTGCATTTTCACCTATATGCTTTTATTTATGTGCAAATTTATATATCATGCATATTTTGATGTATTTCACGTCAGTATTATCACTATTGTCACTGTATTATTTGGTGGGTTTTTAATGGTATTAGCGCTACATCATTATT